AAAGTTTGCTTAAATGTATTGACATCGTTGTATACTTCCAAGCTGTTGAAAGCAGTTCAGAATCATAGAAATGTAGGGCTGGAAGGGAGGGACCTTGAGAGTTCATCAAGTCCAGCCCCTTGTGCTGTGGCAGGACCAAACCTACACTATCCCTGACAGGTGTTTGTCCAACCTGTTTGTAAAAACCTCCAGTGATGGGGATTCCACAACTCCTCTTGGAAGCCTGTTCCAGAGCTTAACTACCCTTATAGTTAGAAAGTTTTCCCTAATACCAAACCTAAATCTGCCTTGCTGCAGGTTAAGCCCATTCTCTCTTGTCTTGCCTTCAGTGGACATAGAGAACAATTGATTATTGTCCTCTTTATAGCAGCCCTTAACATATTTGGAGCATGTTATCAGGTCGCCCCTCAGTCTTCTTTTCTCAAGACTAAGCGTGGTCTTTCTTCCATTTTTTTCATCCCTTTGTCATAAACCTTCTATCATTTTTGTCACTCTGCTCTGGACTCTCTCCAATTTGTCCACATCTTTTGTTAAGTGTGGCGCCCAGAATTGGACACAGTGCTCCAGCTGAGGTCTCACCAGTGCTGAGTAGAGCAGGCCAATTACCAACCGTGTCTTACCTACAACACTCCTGTTGCTACACCCCAGCCTTTTTGGCAGCTGCATCAGATTGTTGACTCTCATTCAATTTGTGATCCATTATAACCCCAGAAGTTAAAATCTCCCATTACCATCGGGTCTTGAGTTTTGAATATTTCTGTTATTTGTTCTACAACAGCCTCGTCCATCTCCTCTTCCTCATTTGGTCGTCTATTGACAACCCTACCATGACATCTATTTTTTACCTCTTTTTATCTTTAACCAGAGACTCTCAATGGGCCTGCCTCCAACCTTCTTCTGGACCTCAACACAAGTGTATATGTTCTTGATGTACAATGCTACACCTGCTGCCTTTTTACTCTGCCTGTCCTTCTTGAACAAGCTCTACCCCTTTATACAGTAACTTGTCACTTAAAGTCGTCCCGGTTAACGTTGTTTCGTTGTTACGTTGCTGATCAATTAGGGAACATGCTCGTTTAAAGTTGTGCAATGCTCCCTTCTAACATCGTTTGGCAGCCGCCTGCTTTGTCCACTGCTTGCAGGATGAGCAGCCCGTTGCAGATAGCTGGTGGGGGCTTGGAACCAGGGTGGACCAGCAGCCCCCTATCAGCTCCCTGTTCCCCTAAGTTCCCTGTGCTGCAGGTTATCAATTGGCAGTTCAGCTGTCCTTCCTCCCACTGCCATGTGCTGCTCCTGCTCTCTGCCTTGGAGCTGCTCCCAGAGACTCCTGCTTGCTGTGCAGGGCAGGAAGGAGGGGCTAATGTCTCCCTCCCCCCTGCTCCTGCACCCTGCTTACCCCTTCTCCAGATAGAGCGGGGAGGGGACACGGACAGAGAGAGACAGAGATAGCTTGGGGCAGCAGCTGCTGTCTCAACTTCCTGATCCACTTAAAAATGCACTTAAGAGTGGGTCAGCTTACTTAAAGGGGCAGTGTGCATCTCTCTCTCTCACACACACACACGGTGTCTCTCTGTCTGCTATGCTGTCTCCCCTCCCTCCTGTTCATGCTGCCTTGATGAGAGGCTAC